GACTTCAATAAGCAACAAGAAAAGGTGACCCACAACATTACACCTAATTCCTCACAATGAACACATTACCCAATTTAAAGTGGTAAGAATTTAAAACAGATTTTCACAAGATGCACATACTAGTTACACATCACCATGGCTAAAGCAAGAAAATTTAATATTAATGGTGGACTGTTTTATTTACTTCATAACCAGAAAATTTAGTTACCAACTGGTTTCAGTGATCAATCAAAGATGAACAGATGTATGAAACCAAATTGAAACAAATGTAAATATATATGGTCAATGGCAGAAGCAAAGTTAAAAAACATACATGTGCATGCTTACTTCATTTCATCTGCATACAATCACATAAAGGTACGTATGTGTATTCACCAAAATGCTGGTGAAAAATGACGGCAACCATTATAACATCTCAACCTACCGTTGTGTCAGCACAATCTTTGCAGCTAATATCTGGCCTTACAATCGTCTCCATCCCCTGCAGTAATGCAGAGTCTCGCATAAGATGAACTGAAAATTTCGTAAGGAACTCCTGTGCTTTTACAGGCTCAGGCAGAAATCGTGATAGTACAGTGACTCGTGCAGCCATGTCTTTGTCACGCTCGGCAGAATGTGGTCGCCGATGGAGCTCCAGCCATTCTGAAACACTACGACGTACACTGCAAAAGAAAATTTATTTCAAAATTATTAATATGCAGGGACAGCAGAGGTAGTTTCAGTGATGAAAAAAGTATACAGGCATAATTTTTCCATTGCACATTCATTTTATCCACTCTGTGAGGATAAAAATACACCAAAGATGATATTATTAATGGAAAATCAATTCCACCATAAGGTCGATAAAATGACATGTCAACTTTACTTACGCTAGCTGGTGTTTCTGGAGCTCAATAAAAGCCTTTGTGGCATTTTCATCAATTGTTCCTAGCAAGTGATATAATTTTTTCATGCGTTCTTCTGCAGGAAGTTGGAATGGGACCAAACAAGTGTTTAATAACCTCTCCACTAATAACCTGCAAGATTAAAAAAACAAATCTAAGCCAACAAAACTTGAAGATCAAGTAACAAATGCTAGCATACAGTTCAGAATCTTTTGTCTCTCTGACAGACATCTACAAACATAAAAAATAACATATTAAAAACCATAATTTTACCTTTTCTTTCATGCAGGTTAAAATTTGGTCTCTTACATGTAGAGAAGAACACAGATTTAGGGTGTTTGACAACAAGGTGCTGAGAAGAATATTGGGAACTAATAGGGATGAAGTGATATGAAGTTGGAAAAAAACGATAGAAATGGAGCTTCATAATTTGTACTTTCCATAGATTATTAGGATGATCAAGTCAAGATTTAAATATAGGAGAGATGAGAAATGTGCATAACATTTTGGTTGGATATCCTGAAGGGCCACGAAAACTCAGAAAACCTAGGTATACATGGGAAGATAATATTAAAATGGATTTTATATAAACAGGGTCTGGACTGGATTCCTCTGGCTCAGGGCATGGACCACTCGCAGGCCCTTGTGAACACAGCAATGAACATTTAGGACTGTTGAACACAAGAAATTTGAACTGCTGGGCAACTATCAACTTCTGAAAACACCTCCCCCCCCCCAACACCAACACCCTACCACACACCAAGGAGTTAGTTGGCAACTAATGGTAGTTAAAAATAGTGATATGAAAAATATTTAAAACCTGGAAAGGCACCAGTTCAATTCCATTAAGACAAGTTATGGCCAAATGTCCATGCAATTGAAAATCATCTTGCACAATCTAGATGTACATGCATACGTGTGTACATATGTGTTTAGATGAGTAAAACTGGAAAAAATATTATGCATGTTGTGTAACACAGATTTGCTTCCAGTTAAGAGAACATGTAAAACATTATGGTTAGAATTATAAAAAAACTACTGTACCTGTCTTCCATGCCAGTCATGTAGTAGCCATGAAGAATTTTATCCTTAATCCATGTAACAGCTTTTTTTGTTGCTTGTGGTACATCTGAATCATTTAGGTGCTTCTTATAAATCATTGCCAAACCTGACATGGCTTCCTTTCGTATCTTAAACTGGGGGAAGGAAAAAAGAATTAAAATTTTCCACAATGTTAATTTCAAACATACAAATTCACACAAGATATCACAGAAGCTAAGAAATGACAGATGACTTAATTTATTTTCTAAATTTATTAATCAGAAAATGTAAGAAAATGATGTCATATTACCATAAGTTTAATTGAATAAATAAACAGACATGTATGGTAAGGAGAGGAGATGCAAAATTAAATAACGTAACTGCATGAACAAACTATCTGATCACCTTTAAATAAACAAGAAATGTTAAAAGACTAAGGGGATCATCACTTGTTTTAAATAATTCATCAAATGCAAGAACAAAAACATAAAATCATACAAATAATATATAGAACACACATTACCTGTATCACGTAATAATTACAAGTGTGATTCACCAAATGATAAAACACTAATAACAGACTTTCTCTCCATACTGGTGATATACATTTTTTGATATATTTTTATTTACTGTATGCAACATTTAAATGAGACATGTGGGCAAACTCATACATTAATTCACATAATATTGCTTTCTCACTCCATAAAATCCAACAGCACAAATGTTATCTTTCAGCAGTCTCCTCATACAACACTCAGTTCCTCAATGAATGTCTTTTGGGACGGTATAAACCTACAACTTTTTTTATACTTTGTCCAACATTAGCTCTTTTAAGTTATAAACATTTTTTAGAACTCTAAAAAATCACAACGTTCATTTTCATGTAGGGGGAAACAGAGACATTGGGAATAGCTCAGATCTATACCAGATCCAAAAGAATGGGTGTCTTCCCCCTCTTTTACCTGAGGATGAAGAAAGATCCATCCTTCAAAATACAGTAATTATTAAGGCTAAATAAGACAATGGATAAAGTTCAAAACAAAGAAAGTAACTAATGAAGTAAAAATAACAACCTTCTTATCAAGTGTCCTCTCCTTGACAAATTCAAGAAGATCCTCACTATCTGAAACAACTTCAAAATCACGCCTCGCTGTTGTCACTATTGCCATGACAACCTCATAACGAACATTCTCCTCTGAGTCATGTTGCCGCATCTTCAGTGTTTCAGTGATGTCACGGCGTAACTCAGGATGGTTAAGAAGGAAATGCATTGAATACTGTACACATTTTGTTCGGATGGCAACACTGATGTCATTGAACCTGGTTCAATAAAAAGGAAAAAATTAAATGTTATATATCCAATATTAATTCCTATGAAAATGTAACATCTACATTAATGTCACTGAACCAAGTCCAATAAAAAGGAACAGAATTAAATGTTATTTATGCACTGTTTTGTAACAATTTTCATGCATCTACTCAGAATGAGCCCAGGGCATATATACATATATATAGCAAATAAATAAACACAACAGTAACAAACACAGCATAAGCTTACCTTTCTTTCAACCACACAACAGGCTACAAAACATAATATTACATCTATTCCTTACACGCTGACAAAAGAAACAATCTAATCAAATTAATTTCTATAATTAAACAGCAACGAAATCTTGCTCTCAACACAATGTTAAATATCAAAGATTAAAAACTGAGTTTCACCTTCCAAGAAAGGCTTTCCACAGTTGTGTATGGTGTCTTGCAAGGTTAGAATCTCTCTCACTAAACATCCTTGCCAACAGTGCAACTGCACCCAACCGTTCAGCCTCTTGGGCTGATTTTAGCTTGCATTCAAGCTGTGGCAAAACTGCAAGGAGGACACTGGGACATATGTGGTTGAGCTCATATATGAGGTCATATACTTTCCCACAGATCCCAAGTCCCTTTTCTTCTTTACCCAGGATTAACACATGATTGAAGAACTACAATAACACAAATACATTTTCAATTAGAAATCACACTTGTATTGTAAATACACACTGAAAATACTTGGAAGAAAAGAGGTCAACATGAAGTTATTCTGCACAACAAGGTAATGCAAATTATGCAACCACAGTTTTCTTAGCTATTTTCTCATATACCTACATCATATGATGTAAAAAGTATAATTTTGGTAAAGTTTGATACATACTGTTTGTATATATGGTTCAAGTGTGTCACTACACTTCACCACTAGCTCCTTAGCAAGGAGATATGCATTCTTTCGTTGTGACTTGTTAGGTTCCACTACATTCATCAGAATAATATCCAATAGTTCATTGGACACTATATCAGATTCAGTTATGAGTGGACACAGTACATCTAGCATAAAGCTCTTAACTTTACCAGAATGTTCATCACTGCAACAAAAATTATAAAATTAGGAAAGCCTAGTTAATGTACATTTAGAATTAATTCAAGGAATCCTGAGTGAGAATCATTGCAGATAATACAAGTGTATTCATACTTTCCAATTTGCTGCAAACTTTTGAAAGAACACAAATAATAATTAAATCTAATCTGAAAGACAAGTGCCTACTGCAGTACTCACATTTGTAATAATTTATATATAACATCTGAAACAATATACTACCCCTTCACACGATAAAAAATAAACACTATCTTATAACCATGTTACATGTGACACAGAAGTATAAAAGCGCAAAGTGTAGTAAAAATATATTTAGTTGTTCTTAATATCACAGACAACCACAAACACCACCCAATGGTTCCTAAACTTCATGTTCAACACCTAACATTTCTGAAATTACATTTCATACAAATCTTAAGTCTCCATAAAACAGGACCATCCTTTAACTGTCAACTGGTGGTACTTCAGCTGCATTTACTGAAAATTTCAGCAATTTAGAATAAATGCTATTAATGAAATCAGAAGCTAGAACTTGTAACTTAATTATACATATGAGGGAGAAGAGTTAACACTTACTTGACAATCTTAAACATGAGGGAGAAAAGAGCACAAAAGATCTCTTGACAGTCCTCTAGCTCAAAACACATATTAAAGCTCTTGACATAAGCCAAATTCTCCAGCAGGTAGAAATACCGTTTGAAAGCTGGATCTTTTGGATCTTTCAGGCCCGATAACTGCTTGATCAAGAAGAGGAATATTGTCTGAAAAGTAAAATCTGAAATTAGTTCCAATGTCAACAAGACATAAGATAATAGGTGCTGTTTTCTCAAGGTTTTCCTCTCTTCAGGAAAATGCCAGGATAGTACCTTAAAATAGGCCATGACCACTTTCTCCACATTATTTAATGTTCACCAAATGTAATCATAAACTCATATAATTTGACATCAAATAACCACTGTAGCTTATACAATTCATCCATTCATTTATCATCTATCTGATAAGAATTTTGGTTAAGACTGGAGCAAAAATCAGTTTTGTTACCAGCAACATATAGAGAAAGATGTGTTTGTACTGTACAGTGGCTAACACACAGATGTGCATTCACCAAAAAGGTCACACAACTCATTCATATCCCTCTACGTGTATTAAGAACCACCAAAATTGTCATAAATATCAACAAACAGAATATTTTCTTCATTGCACCACTGCAAAATAAAAAATAACACAATAAACGTAAAAGCTAAAGCTGCCCCACTATACGCCATTAAGGCACTTGGGGGGGAGGAAATATAGCTCCTACTCATTCTTGACCTCAGCACTAGACGGAGGTGAATGGTCAGCATCATGCCCCAACCGTGCTATACTGACTGAGCTACCCCGGCTCACCCAAAAATAACAATATAATACTTTTCTATTCATTATTTGGTATTTAAAATTGCACATAAAATTAGCACAACTAGTTTCATTGGTACACCATATCCAATGAGAATAAGATGTATGGTAGTAAATCTTTAAAAAAATGTAACTTTTGTTTCAATAATAATAATAATAATAATAATAATTTGTAACTCCTATAACTATGAGCAACTAAAATAATTCCAAACTGCGCCAAAGTCCAGGATGCCAGCCCACAAGATAAATTGTATTTCATTAATCATGTTACCTAAACATATTAGGAAAACATGACTTGTAAAGTTTCAACTGAAAAATATTTCCCCAAAATTAATAAATAATGACAAATCTCTACATATATTGTAACTTTTCTCTAAAAATAATAAATTAAGGCAAATATTTAGATATACTGCATACAATAAACAGTTAGTAATATAAAAACATGAAGTCAAGGCCCTCTTATTTCAAATTATTTTATCCTCTCAACATCATATATTGACAAAGAAATTGAAGAGCAAAGCAGAAATACTCAAACATACCTTATTATTTGTGACATTACTGAAGGACTGCAATGCACACTACATGTTTTCTTTTTGTGAAGTTAATGTCATCATCAAACTATGTGAACATCTAGGAGCATTAAAAATGATATAGTACAAAGAATGCATGCAGAAACACACATCCCACCACTGGTCTCTACTATAAGTCACAGGAATTCAGTCCACATCCTCCTACCCTATATCCAATTTTAATATTATATACCAAGCCTTATCTAGGTTTTATGAGTGTTCTTTACCCTTCAGGCTTTCTGTGCAAATTCCACATTTCCCCTATATGTGCTATACGTCCTACCCACCTCATCCTTTGTTTGAGCATCCTAACAGGTCTGGAGGGTGTTGATTGGATTAATTTGGCTCTGGATGAGACACAGTAATGAACGTACAGGTTCTATAAAAGGTGGGAAATTTTGTGACTACACTCTGTTCATTCTTACTTCAATCCTGGGGTAAACAAACACACGAAACTGGTGCTCTCATTGGGCAGTTGCCTGTCAGGCTATATGTGACGTAAAGAAATAGTCCCTGGTATCAGTATCCATGTCTTGGTATGTTTTGTGAATCTGTATAGAGGACAATTACGTATGAATTAACAACACACCCATATTACCTTCACTATAAAATAATCAAGATATTAACCATTATATCAATTATTTTCCAGTTACAATATGCATGTGTGAATTACAGTCTGTTCATGAAAATAAGCAGTTGATTTCTAAGTTTTCAAGGCAGACACTATGCATTACTGATGATCTTGCCAACAAAGCAGGTTATGTAGAAGCAAGATTGCTGTCATTTTATTGTAATCTGAACTTGATTGGAGTCAGGAAAATGGTTACATTGCAAGACACAATAAAACAATCAAGTTTTGTTACTGTTCAGCCTTGTCAATTCTGCATAATCACAAATTACACCCCAGAGATCACAAGCTGTTATTGATCACATCACTAAGGAGGAAGAAAGGATGAGGAAGATTAACTGGCTCACTGATAATATGGTTATCAGCTTGTTATAAACATGGGTGATGCAGAAATACGCAGCAATGGACAGCCTCAGTCTTCCGACATGGATTCAAATATTGAAGGCAGCTAACCCTTACCTAACAGAAACTAAATTATTAGTGATGTAAATAAATGATAGCGTAAATTAGTTTATCATCACTGTAATTCTTGCTGCTCAACTAAAATCACCAGGAAAACCTGTAGCTTTATTCTTTAATAGATTTTTAAATTAACAGACTGTCCTGTATTGGGCAGAAACAAAAGGAGTGTGAACTACAGCACCAATCACCATAACATAAGGTACAAGGTTTTAAACTGGTTTGTTTCTGTTACAAATGAAGTAAGAATGAACAGACAACAGCTGAGAGTCCTATTACATTCTCAAGAAGGACTCTGCTCCATTGAGCTAGTTAAGTTAGTTTATAATATCTGGTGAGGATTAGAATTACAATATTATGCAATTTTCTCCTGCTTCCTGTCACTAATTCTCTCTCATGTCCAAATATTCTCCTCAAAACCTTGGTGTCAGGTCAAAGGTAAAATTCTGGTGAATTCACCAAACTGTTACACTATGTATATATTTCATAATTTACTTTCATTCAGCAAGGATTTATAAGCCTGGTATGCCTCTTCACAGTGTTTGCAAATCATCTTATAAACTCCATGCCCAAGAGTGTTGTGACTAAGTGTTCCACATCATTCATCAAACAATTGTTTCACTTTCCTTTGTCAGTATTGCTGCTAATTTTATAATCTGCTCCACTACCTGAGCAGCAAATTCAGTTTAATCATACTTATTAATATTTTTCATGAGATAGTGTCCATTAACATAAACTGAACACATGTAAAGGAAAATGATATATATTTATACATCACACAACTAACTAGATGGCTTACGGAACCTGAAGGCTCATCACAGAATTAACCAAAGCCCTCCACCGGACCCTGTCCTGGGTCAACAAAATTCAGTCTCCTTCAACTCCTATCTCCCACAGATCCTGCCTGAGATTATCCTCCCACCTACGTCTAGGTCTCCCCAGTGGTCTCTTCCCCTCATGCTTCCCGACCAATACCCAGTACACACCTCTTGCCCCATCCATGTGTGCCACATGTCATTCTTCTTGACTCAATCACCCTAACAATATTTGGGAAGGAGTACAAATTTTTAAGGTCATCATTATGCAATTTTCTCCATACCCCATCGTCTTCTCTCCTAGGCCCAAATATCCTCCTCAACACACTATTCTCAAACACCTGCAATCTGTGTTCCTCCCTCAGAGTGAGAGACCATATTTCACACCCATACAAAACAACAGGCAGGTTCTTAGAAATCAGATGAGAAGACAAAATATTTCCAGAATTTATTCTCCAATAGCTGATGTGTCCCATTCAATTGCAAACCCTCCTGCCTATCTCAGACTTTCCTGATGGCATATTCTAGCGCAAAGTTTAAGAGCAATGGAGATAAAAGCATCTCCTTCTTTCAGACAGTTCTTGATGGAAAATGAGTCAGATAAATATTTACCTATATAAATTTTGCTAGAGGTTTCATGTACGTACATTTTATTAGACTCACTAGATTCTTTGGTATACCAAATCCAATGAGAATATTGTACAACACTTCTCTCTTAACAAAGTCATAGGCTTTTTAGAAATCTATGAACTGGTGTACGGTCCCACTGCACTCCCATTTTTCTCTAGTATCTGGCAGATGCAAAATATCTGATAAATTGTTAATCTGTTACATCTGAACCCACACTGATGAACCCCAACAATTTCATTCACATATGGAGTTAATCTCGCCAGAGAAATTTTTGATAGAATTTTGAATGAGATTGTTAGTAAAGAAATTCTATGATAATTGCCACAGTCAGTCCTGTCCCCTTCTTATGAATAGGAATAATTATGGATCTCTTCCTTATTCCATATTAATTGGATGCACTTATAGATTCTCATATGTAACTTTTTGCCAACTGATTTAATTAATTCTGATGGAGATTTATAACTTTCCAACTTTCCAATGGCTAGTTCAACTTCATCTAAACTAGTTTCTGGCACTAACAGTCCAGCCATATGTATTTTAAACTGTCTAACTGGTTAAAGAAATGTTTCCACCTAGTCAATATTTTGATTGGTTCTGCAAGTAAATTGTCATTATCATCCTTTACCAAATTAGTCTTAGGTTGATATCCTTTCTTGAAATCATTTTTTGCCTCTGTACAGATCTCTGATATTTTTGTCCTTACTATTTGTCTCAAGTTTGATAATTTTGCTTTTCAGATATTCCCTTTTCTTATTCCTAAGGGTTCTACTGCTTCATGTCTCATGTTACATAGATTATCTATGTTATTTATACATCGCACACTTCACAAAAATATCTGATTTAATCAAACTCAGGAGGACCATAAAAACATAAGCTGTGTAAGATTTGAGGTTTTCACAGCGGTGAGTATGAAGATTTCTGTCTTCTGGGTTGTTGTGCAGTGTAGTCTGGTCGATGCTAACAAACGTTTCATCGCCCTGATGACGGAGGCAGTATGACCTCTGAAACGTTGGTTAGCATCGACCAGACTACACGGTGCAACAACCCAGAAGACAGAAATCTTCAAAACATAATCTATCTATGTTAATCTGTCCCATGTGAAGATAAAAACTTTGCACTTGTTACACACACCACTCATATTTGATTACCTGAAGGTCTGGATCTTCTGATAAGTTAATAAACCACAAAATCTCATTATTTTCATTCGATCAATAACCTATAAGAAGCTCTCAACAATATGTGTCTATCATATTATCACAAAGTTGCATTTTAACTGCCATATGGGTGGTATCTGGATTAGATATGCTGCAACTGAAAGGGAGGGAGGCACTGGTAGGCGGAAATGTCACAGGGTTTGGAATACATGGCATAAATGCACATACAATGCCTCCATTCCTTTAGGTCTACCAAATTACTGAACAATATCCTACAAGTATAACCGAGCTACATACCTTAACCTGCTCTGGATCCTTATAAGGGGCTTCTGGTGCATAAACTCTTAGAACATCAGCAATACAACACGCAATTAATAGCTGGACATCTTTACTTTGATGCATCAAGAAATGATCTTCGGCAAGATGAAGTGCCAATGGTATGTACTGTTGATACATTCCCTCGTCCTGCCCCATTGCTTGCAGAGTATGAGCCAAGGTCTAAACAAATCGGGGGTACATAATGTAATTCCTAACATTACAAATGTGAACCTTTGCTGATTTAGACATATTGCCTTACAAAATTAAGCAACATTAACAATGTGATTTACACTTACCTCGCATCATAACTGTAACGTGTATAAATCTAAAATTTCCTAACACAAAAAAGTGAACCTTTGTTGACTTAAACACATTGCTTTATAACATTAAGCACAACTAATAATGCGCTTCTGCAGTTACGTAGCATAACTGTAATGTGTTCAAACTTAAAATTATCAAATAATCTATAATTCCGCATAAACATCATAACAATAAAGAACTGAAGGTATATTAAAATGCTTTAACCTTAAGTCGTCGTATAAGTTCATCTGGCCCCAAGTCATCCGTTACAGGACGACAACCTTGTGGGTAAACAATGTCGTGAGGCATTATGATGACAGTGAATGATTAGCCAGTCATTTAAAGCCTGAAATGCAGATTACATCCAATTCAATGAATTATTTCCGAAAGATGCCATTCCTAATCTTATCTACAAATTTAATTGCAAAGGCCCAAGTTACAAAACGCTGATGATATGTAACTATTAACTGAATCATTATTTTGATAATATGATCAATACGACTACTGTGAATACAAAACGTAACACTTTAACAAACCACGCTGCACTACAGCCATCGTACAACAAACTATCTCACTGCAAATACAACACTAGATCCCTGACGAATTGTAAACGCTGATTTAGTTGCCACCGGAAATTAATCACAAACGCAAATTCCTGTAAGATTCATTGTTCGCCAAATAATAATTCTGACATAAAAATACACATGAAATGGATATAACATTGGCACGTTCTTAATGTTCACAATAAATGAGCTACTACAAAGCCATGTCAAAGAACGACGCGCAACACCATAACCATTAAAACTGCGGGAAACTGCTTCCCGGTTAGCCACGGAACGCGAAAAACAGGGGCACCAACTAAAATCTGGCGCTGTAAAACCGACGGAGTTTATGTTTCCATCTCTGAACCAAAAAATAGTAATCTACGGATGATAAGTCATGTTCTTAGAATTGTATTTCATTTTCTAGCGATCTCAGCATTTCGAAATACCACAACCATATGTTTCCTAGAATATGGTTACGTATAATTCCTTCTTTATTTTCTTGCTGGTAAATACTTAAGTCGTGCAATCACACAGAATATTATGCCTTATTAATTATTAAATGTTATATAACATTTCAACCCAACTTGTGGAACATGCTCCTTTCGTATGAAATTAAAAGAATGGAATACTCTTTCTGAAGTGAAGTTATTTAAAAAGCAGGGATTATCCTAAAAAGAATATAGACAGGAAAACGAGAAGCTGCATGGGAATTATGTACACATTACACGGGTTGTTGCATGAAAGGGTGACATTATGGACATGAAATTACACCAAAATTACATGTATGCTGCTAATTATGGTTTGTCATCTGTGGTTACCACGTTTTAGCAATGTGGTTCCTAAGGCATGGCTCATTCATGCTGTTTTACGAAGATACTTTTTTCCCCCCTCTGTGTAGTGTTTTGGTTACAGAGGAACATCGTGCTTCCACCATCAGCACTGAAGGTGGCGGCAACATTTTCTCTGTTCGGAGTTGGTTGTGCCGTGTGGTCTTTAGGTAATAAGCCGACGTTTCAGAGGGTTGTGCCGTTTTTGCTTTTGGGGCTAATCGTCTGTAATTAACAAAAAGAATAAACGGTGTAACAATTCTAAAGATGATAAAGTTATGTCGGGCTACCAGTCGTGTCAGGTGGTTAAAAGGCGAAGACAAAAAGTTTCGTGAACCATCACACGACTTACAACCTATTCACGTTAACCCACATCCACTCGAACGTAAACGTTTCTATAATGCTATTACGAAAAGACATGCGGCCAATTGATAGACTTGCTTTGGAGAATATAACTAGTATTTCAATGGTCATCCAAGACTTGGCCAGGCAGGTTTTTATATCACTTGTATGATATACAGATGTTTTCACTTTCATTATATATTATGGGGCCTAATTAAAATCTAGCTCGCATTGGGTACTAAGAATGCTGACTTCAGACAGATACTGATTTGACAATATCAGAAGAATTTGGTACTTTATTTTATAAAAATGGTGACAATTGATGAAACAGGAGTTCACCCATGGGGCCATACTGAACATGGTCAAGTGGGTAACAACCATACTTTGTATTCTGGATGTGCTTGGTCCAAATACCAGTTTGACGTTTTCATGGTTTTCTCAGACCTGCCAGGTAATTGTCAAGTTAGTAACTTAAATTAGGCCATGACCACTTCCACATATTTTATGATTCATTTCACTAATTATCCTATGAACTGATTCCATGTGATATGAGCTTATTAATGGATCATGAAGTAAATAAAGAATACCATTGTAATCTGAAAATTAAACAAACCATGGGGTGGGAGTGAGAGGGACCCTCATTGCAACTTATATTTCAGGCCCAGATATCTTCTAATAAGATTATGGCATGTGTCCTGGAACTGCAAGAAACACTGATTAATCTTGTACTGCCACAGTGAAAGACCTTAGTGATACCATCAAGCAAAAATTATCATATCAGGAGGTGGCAAGTTCCCCTTTCAGAGGTTGGTTTCTGCCACCAACAGCTAGGCGAACAGATAGTAAGAGATAAGTAACAACCTGACATGGCTGATAGCCCAAGAAAGTTTTATTAAGTCCCATTACTTTCAATCAGACCTTGTATCTTAAGTGATATACAGACCAAGAATGAGAATACTATATGCGGCTTCTAATAAATGATACCTTATTCATTAGTGGCTTCACTTATCTCCTTTCTTCCCCACCACCACATACTAATCCTTCCAGGGACATCTCCATTTTGCTCTTCTCTGAAAACAAATTGTCATTCACTGAAATAAGATATAAAACATATAGTAGTTAAATATGTGCACATACTAATCAGAACTCATGAATGTATGTTTCAATCATATTTTCATATTTGTCTGTAGCCTGTATAGTTCATTTTCAATGTGAGCCTTCCTTAGTGTCTCTGTCAATGGACTGTCCAGTGACAGAGACTAGCACTATCTAAGGGACCCAACAGAGTAGGTACCTCTCACCTGAAGACAGAGACAGACCAGCCTCCGAAACATCGTGGGTTTTAAAAAATAGATGATGGAAAGAGTCCTGACAATGAATAATTTTAAGTGTACTGATTATATACATATATTTATTTTCACAGTCTATACACAAACTTATTTAAAATAATGTTGTTAAAATATTATAACATTTACAGTATAAAGTATATTATGTTATATTTTTGGCGCTCCTTTATCGTAGTATGACATTACATTATTCAGCGCTTTTATTTTTGAACGACATGTTTCGATGTTTTATTTAAAATATTATAACATTTACAGTATAAAGTGTATTATGTTATATTTATGGCGCTCCTTTATCGTAGTACGACATTACATTATTCAACGCTTTTATTTTTGTTTTTGGACGACATGTTTCGATGTTTTATGGCATCATCTTCAGGTTTATCAATCTATATTATTTTATTTTTTATATTATTTTATACTGTAAATGTTATAATATTTTAACAACATTATTTTAAATAAGTTTGTGTATAGACTGTGAAAATAAATATATGTATTTGATTCAACACAAACATGACGCACTTAAGATACAAATTGTACTGATTATGTATTAATTAACCAAGATCTCCTTCCTCATAATTCAGCAAAGGCATATGCATTAAGTTTATCTGCTGTCCATATGGTGAAGTTCAACAATAATTTTTTAATTTTATAGTATGATAAACAGCACTTTCTAAATTTCATATTGTGATTTTAACAAACATGTAACAGAAAAATGCTCTTTCAACTTTGATGATTATTAGTTTTTAGTTGTGTAAAATTGTCATTTTGCAGCCAGTGGTAGACATATTAAATGTGGTAAAGGGCTACTTGTTAATGCTACACAATAGTTTAATTACATACTATATAATGAAGAAGGCTGTCTTCTGGGTTGTTGCACCATGTAGTCTGGTAGAAGTTTAGGATGGAGGCAGCATGGACCTCTGAAACATCAGTAAACTTCTACCAGACTACATGCCGCAACAACCCAGAAGACAGCCATCTTCACACTCACGGCCATGAAAACCTCAAATCCTACATACCATACAATGCCTCAAAAACAAACACATTGGGCTAAACGTTTAAACTATTGCAGTCACAGTCTTATAATTTTTGCCACATGGAAATCATGCAAAGTTAAAAAGGGGAGGGACTGCACTTTCCAGATTCTTTTCTTATAATATTTGAAAGAATAAGAGAATCACAAAATTTTCCAAAGAGCATGATTTCAATTGGCATCAGTTTCAAAAATGTAAAAAACTTTGTCTATGAGAAACTTCAATTTCGTACAACAGACTTTGCCATTTCAAGACCTCTGCTTTCACCTTCATTACCTCTGGCATATTTTCTAGCCAATAACAATTTTTGGGTTTCTGAAAGTACATATTAATTCAATTTCCGTGAGGGCATGCTTACAAAATAAGCATAAAATGATCAAGAAAGATTTTTTTTAATCTTTCAGCCCAAAGACATGATTTGCTACAAAACTCATGATTCCTTGAGGTACTACATAGTTGCATGTCTCCAATCTCACCTGCGTAAAACGGAACAGATCCAGTGAACATAAAGATTGTGGGATAAAATGGGAGATTCAATAACACTGAAGATGGCTGCTGATTTAAAATGGGATGTACAGTAGCAGTTAAGAAGGCTGCTATATTTGTCAGATTTTAATATACACAATCATAACTACAACTCAGACAACTTTTAAGTATGTCTGAGAAGGATGTTCACCACGTTAAACAGCAGATGAACATGCTTCATGCAGTCAGCTCAATACCCACTGCCAATTAGTTGTTTTGGTAAAAGAATGCTGACCTCCAATTCAGATGTGTCCATGTAACATTGTGCGCTTGCATAAGATGATTTCAACGTCCCTACCCAACAACTTTCTTTCATGACACCCACCTCAAATTTGATCCCACTGAACCTCTTCTGCATTAATGAATCTCCCATTTCTACCATTTTTAGCCTCTTTGCTACCATCCATCTTCAAATTTTATCTCAAGTCATCATAGTTACTGAATCTCATTTAAATGTTTCTTTATAGTTTCCCAATGGGCTGAAGGTTTGCTAATCCTTCCCATTTTAATCAACAGCTTTCTTCAGCTTGTCTGGTTGCTGAAAGATAGAAACCATATCACTAGACTTGATCAACAGACTTGCCACAAGGAATTTACCAGTACTTTTATGCATCAAATAAAATAGCTGGAGAGAACTTATGATAAAATGGCAATAAACAATAAAATCATACACGTAAATACTTTCAATTACCACTGAAATGAAATGAAAGCAGCAACAAAATACACTTGGGTTGACCACAAAACAGACATTTTAAAAGAACTAAAAACAAAAATTTGAAACTTATACCAGACAACATGATGATGCAACCCAGAAGACACCCATCTTCATACTCACCACCATGAGAACCTTAAATCCTACAATGATAGTCATCTTTACTGCCATTTCCCATTTTACCTGAACATTCTGTTCACAGACAGCCCTTTCTCTTCAGGATCATTGAATCTCTCAATTTATTCATTGCCACTACTCCATTTGGTGTACAGGGGTCATGTAATTCTTGTCAGTATAGTACCACAAGTAATCATGTCATGCACGTATTTACGTTAGTCCATACGAGCTCATCATATCTTTTAATGCTTTTGGGAGGTGGATAATGAAACCTTGACCATCAATTCACTTGCTGACCAGGCCAAAAATTCAAAATTGATATTTTGGAAAACCTGTTCACATCAATGTACTGGATGAGACTTTTTAAGTGTGCTGTGAATCAATGAGGTTTCTTATTACATAGCTCTCATGTTTTTGCACTGACTATACTTTACATTGCCTTTGCAAGAAATTTGTATTTCAGCAGAAGAGTAATAATTTGTTTTTTCTAAATGCCAAAAGAAGATATGTTCTGAAGGATTCTGACAATGGTGTAGAACAACCTGGATTGTTGGGTTTTTGGACTTTGTCCACTGTCTGGTGTTATAAAATTACTCAGTGTATTGAGGACTGGATCTGCCCTCATCTTCAAGTGTGAAGGGGAAGGGCACCTAATCTGTGGGGTGTTAGGAGCTAGCTCTCCATACCAGAAGGGCAGATCCCTTCTTTATTGTTGACCAGTATTTGGGAACTATTAACTTGGAACAGTAAAAAAGTAATAATGTAACATATATTAAGAGTAACATAATAATTGTTCTTTCTTCTATTAACAGATCACTACAGCTACAAGTGAGGTACAATAACTGATTCCACATTTTCTTTAAATGACTTCATTTGACTCCAAAGCTACAATAGTAATAATGACAATGTTTTGTTTCCATTGTTGTATGTACTAAAATACAAAGAAGCCTATAATAGATGGGAATTTCTGTACAATATACATTTTGTTTTGTTTAGAAACTAGTTCTCAGTGAAATTATGTACAACATTATTTACAAATTATTTCACAAGACTTACATTATTTTATATATATATTTATAATATAATCGATCAATAATAGAACTGTGATAATATAATAATGGTATCTTAAAAAAACTCCGGTGAAAATGCACATGCATCCATAGCCCCGACTTCTGACATTTGGCAGAGGTTCAGTTAAAAGTAAAAATGCACCAATTTCCCACAATGCCACTTGAATGAAGAAAAAATTCACAGATTATATATATATATTAACATATGGTTGTGGTTTTACTTTACTAGTGTTCAATGAGTTCACATAAAACAAGCATAAATTCTCACACACACACGCACTCATACAAAGAATAACAACAACAACAACAATAATAATATTAATCTGGAGTGAGAAAATGGATCACAACTCGAGACTGGGAGGAATATTTTTCCAACCTGCAAAAGATAAAAGGATGGGACACATGGCTTTGTTTCAAAATTATATCAGTTAAAATTAACATCTTCATAACTGCACAAATTTTCACATTTCCTTTGTAGTATATATACATAAAATCTAGTAGATCTAATTAATCAAAATTAAATCAACCATACACAGCTGATAGCTAATTACATATTTACCTAAAAAACAACTTCTATATACATGTCATCACTTCTAGAGACTGTGTCTTAATAATATTTTGTACAAAGTTTATATATTAATGATAAAAATGATGATAATACCCAATGGTCACACAAAGGCTTTTAACAAAAACAAGCAGAGGAATAGAAAATCCATAAACTCATTTCATATCTAGATGTTAAGTAATCTGTTAGCATTTCCAGGGAAGTTTCAATGAAGTTTTAATTTACATGTGTTTTAAGACCATAAATTCAAAATTGCAAATTTAATTTAAAAAGCTGACCATTTATAAAAACACATGTCCTTGATGAATTTGTTCATAATGTCAGTTCCTTTTCAATTAAAGACAAAATAAATTATTCCCAACAGCATAATACAATTTCAAGGGTACAAGGAAAGAAGGTTAATAATGCTTATGATACTAAAATATTTTAAAACTAATTACTTCCTGTCTTCTTGAATCAGTATGAAATAAGCAATGACTTGTTCTATTCTCTGATAAACCATGTGTGTTCATTGGAAATATTAAACACAAATTATAGAAATCCAAGAGGGTGAATAAGCTACAAGCACACAACACAATGTCTCATCCCCAAGTATGCAAACATGTACATTCACAACACAACTCATGCATGCCATAAGTTACGTTTCTTCTTCCAAGAAATGAGAAACATATATATACATAAAATCTTTGCCGTAGTCCACCACAGACGATAACATTTTTATCGCAAACAAACCTCAATATCTCCTTTAATTTTCACCTCCATTCAATGGCAGGGAAATAGTTCCAGAAAAAAGAAATTTCTTAAAATTCAAACACTCCTGTGACTACTTTGTGTTGCAGTATGCATTCATACCACTAGAGTGAAAAATTAAATATAATGTATCTTGTACTGGCCATGATAATACACTAATTATGCCACCAACCCTCTAAACCACAAACCTACATTAAAAGGTTGAAAGTAAAATTTAACAGTTATTGTAACTTTAACATTCACACCTGAACACAGATATTTCAATACTCTGTTGATAACCCTTCAAAAGAAAACACAAATCCATTCCCCTAACAATTATGTAAGTTCTTCATCAGAATAAAAAAAAACCTCATCTGATATCTGTCAATCATAACAAAACAAGTAACACAGTAACACTCTTTTCTTATGCAACATGATATGCAAACAGAAAATTAACGTCTTGGACCAAATCAGACAACACTACCTAACCCTTCTGAAATCAGATGAAAAAGAATGGAGAGTTAAATTACCATTTACCAAATGGTAATGAAACAATAGAAGTTGCATTCAAGTGACTGGAATGAAGCCAACAATGAGGTATAAATAGAACATACACAACTCCCATTGCAGTCTTTCATCTATATTCCTTCAAGACTGATCTTCCTCAGTTACTATGTTCTAGAGCTTTGTCCATCTACAAGTTTTTGTTTTGAATGAAGTTCAGAAACATTCAAACTTAGATGTCTCCAAGCCACATAGCTTTGCATGCCAGCAACCATATATAAAAACTTTTGGTTACAACATTAAAATCAAATCCTACAGGAAATACTAAACCAATGACTAAACTGATGTCACTAGCAATTTGTACAATGTCCAAGAACCTTCCACATACAATACATCACATTGGGATATAATAATCGGCGGTGACGGTGTCTCTGATCTCTTTGCAACAGCATAATCTTCAGTAAATATTTGACATAAAAGAGATTTTTGTAGTAATATTAATATATTAATCACTCCAATTTCTATACTTTTATATAGATTTGGCATTCATGTTTAATCCCGATCCATGACAGTAAAACAGTAAATTTAATTTACCATTCTTTCTTCATGTTACAGACAACTCACTGCAAATTGCAAAGGTATGAGACAATACACCTTAGATGAAGATATAAAAAAAGAAACTGATCTTTACAATCCATCTTTGTAATATGGCAGCAACAAGTTATTTTAGCACTTATATTCACCACTTCCTATGTGAATTTCATATATAATGAAGGTTAATGTAACTGGTTGTTCCATGTAAAATTACAAGAAATGTTCAGAAACTTAACTACATGCCAGCCACATGTTCTTATGGCTTATTTATTATAATGTACTTCAAATTGTCCATTAAAATATACTGCATGCTCCATATCACCTACATATAAAGGATAGGAATATTGTGAGGAAATAAAATATCAGGATAACAAGTAGATGATTTTCAGTTCTATAAAATTTCTGAGAAAATAAAATTTCAACGAGCAACAAATTAAATGGTGGCTCATGCTACAGTTTACTGTGTACCTGCTTGTGTACCATTTTCACTTTGCTTCAAGCAGACAGTGAAGAACATACCAAAATATTTGGAAGAAATACCATCTTTGTGGCCAGCAAAGCTACTCTCTCTCTCTCTCTGGTTGAGGACATTACTTTGAAGGCCTACTACATACCATCTTACAATGATTTTTAAAATCCCTGAAAAATTCAAAAGGCACTTTAACCCAAGAATTTCCATTTCCAACACCTGAGTTAATCTCAAGTCCTTGATTGTGCCAGTATAATCTACCTCCAACTTTCATTATACTTGCTTGAAAAATTATTAAAATTACAGATGAAAAAAATTTAATATGAAAACAAATTATATATCCATTTAATATATACTATTCCTTACAATGCATAATCTTATGAACAATACTTCTCATGGTACCACAAATTAAATGTACACAGATACTGTAGTTTTAATCAGCCAACTTGAAGTAACATTTGATCTTATATGCAACTCCACACTTATTACTGAACACCTGGCAATAGGTTTCTAAGATACTTTTAAATCACTGTATCTATATTACACTCAAAAGTGACAGAAGTAGGGATATTGCCAAATTTCATCATGGTATGTGTGGTCTCAAATATTATCACAAATCAAGTTGACTTGTTTGTCATTTCCATAAGCTTCATCCTGTACAACATTAATTTCCTGTTTTTCTTGTTCTTCTTGTTGGTTCTGCCAACCAGCAATAGCGTGTGGTCACTTGCCATCACGGGAAGCTCTTCTTCGCTTGTTTGAAACCCCATCTAGTTCTGAAGAGAGGTAATTTCACATCAGTATCACAGAAATTTATGCAAATAATACAATGGCAAAATTGCTAGTAACATTTATAGTAATGGTACTATACAAATTACAGCAGCTTTGGTCCATGGTCCTATTATTTCTGCTCCTTGCTCTAACCTTAATTGTAACATAAACTAATTTGTATCTATCTGTTTTATGCCATGGCAAGTGGTGACCTAACTTGCAACACATTTTCCTGTGCCAAGAACAGTACTTGGTTTCAAATTAAATGGCTGATTACTACAACATAAATCCACCTACTACCAATGTTTTTTTTCTGGGCTGTGATGCAGTGTGGACTCAGGTAGGTATCAATGCTTCTGATAAATATACTGTCTCCAGGTGCATGGTTAAAACCCTGAAGCCATACAAGTCCATACAGTGTCACAACCCAGAAGAATATTAACATCTTCACTGCCATAAAAACTTTAAATCCCCAACCTATCACCACTGGACTATTTGCCAGTAATTCTGGTACCATGAACACATCACGTCTCTATATATGAATTAATCAGAATAAAAAAAGTGATAGTGGAACCACGGTTCCGGAGAATTTGACGTAAATACGTCTTTACGGAAAGGAAGTTTATATATTGGCTTTATTCTAAATATTTCCTTTATACATGCTTTACAATTGAG